TACCCTAAAGGCTGAGTTCCACACACAGTGCTCTAAGGACAGGATGCTGTTTATTAGCTTGATAGATGTGATTGATATACCCTGTTATGCCTCCCATTGCACAAGGTCGGATCCGTCACAAGTTTTACGGAGGTTTACCCACAGTGGGATGTGCTATGAGACAGTGGGGATATAGGACTTAACAGTGATACCATGTGATGGAGACAGAATCTTTTCAGAGGTTGGAGCAAGCCTTCCAATAAGTGCCAGGGTGAAGATCTGTTAAATTCTCTGAGAACAGTCACTGCAGGGAGAGGAGAGGACTGCTCCCATCTCTGCTGTAGGAAGTTTCCACGTGCTGTATCCTGCAAGGAGTCTGTTATACCTAGGGTTATCTATGAAACTGCGTCCTTGTCCTCTGGTAATGTGATAGATTGCGTTATAAGATGCTTAAAGAATAATTTTGAAATGAAGTGTTAAATATGTTAAAGGTTTATATTTAAACCTGAATGAAATTTTAGCAGTTAACAATAAAGACTGCAATAGGAAGTTTTTCCTTTCTCATCTGAGCTTGCAGACAGCAAGAAGTATGGGGTGCTGTCATACAACTGAGGAATCGCAGCGCATGTCTACATGAAGGCTGATGAGCAGTTCCTCTAGGTAGTATCAATAATTGTTTCCTCTAGCTACAGAACAGGCATATCAGTGTTGTCTGTGCTAATTAATTGCACTTAATTAGCCTGGATTCAGTGTCACACTGATAGAGCTGTACTTTCTGCAGGACTAAAAGGAGTTTAGTGTTATAACCATTCACTGTGCAGTTTAGATGTATACAAGCTAATTTGGGCTACCTTGTGCCCTTGCAATGTGCCTGTAGTAGCACAGTTGTTAAAGATGGAAAATCTACTGGGTTACCTCCTTCTGATCTTTTACCTGTAATTGCAGGATTGTGAACGAATATAGAATGGAACTTCTCTTTGTATTAAATGACACCCAAGTTTAGGAAAAAACATAGTTGAGATTTTTATGACCTGTTTATCAGCAAGGGAGGTGGTTACATAAAAATATGTAGAGTGAAACAAAAAGTGCTCCATATCTTCTAATATTGATCGCTATCAAAATGGGACTATTGAATAGAGTCTAGTTGGATGGAAATAATATTTTAAGGGAATTTTTTCACAGTTGTAGGAAAAACATTTAATTTTCTGAAATTTCTTCTGTGGGAATACTGTTCTTCAGATCACAAATCTGTTAAAAGGAGTTGTGATTCTAAAGGATTGCGTAGATACAATTATTGCATCAATTATTAATTTCATAACTTTTCCTCTTTTTCGTATTTCTCTAAACAAACGTATTTTTAAAGTATTTTGCATAGATTGATCTTCTTCCGTAATACCTTTCAATTTCTGGTGTAAAGGTTTTCCCCATCTGATGTTCAGTCTTTGCTTTTATTTAGAAAATAGAGCTATGAAGTACTGTTAGTTTACTTTTAAAGCTTTGCTGCTGTTTGCCTTTTTATATAAAGGAGACAAAAGATACAACTTTTTAAAAACACTTCATACATGGTCCATCCAGATTAGCACCATATGTGTTTGGTGAGGACTTAAAAGAGAGGGTGTATTTTGGATCTCTCTGTACCTGAAGTCTAAAATTAGTAAGGAGTGAGACTTCCATAAGCTAATTGAAAATATAGGTGTCTAAGGTAAGCTAAGCTCTGTTAAGCTCTGTTCTCCTAAACTAAAAGAGAAGGAGAAAAACTTCCAGCGAATGATTCATCCTATCTCTCTAGTTTGTGTCTAACCAAGATGAATCACTCTGTGAAGGTGCATGATTCTTTTAGACAGCTGAAGTTAGGAGAGTTACATCTCACTCTCGGTCATTACTTTTTCTCATTACTGCCTAACTGTGGTAGTTTAGAAGACATGCAGTCGAAGTTTGAATAAAGAGTTAACAAAGCAAAGGAAATTCGGGAATCCTCCATTCATGCAGTGATATGCATTAGCGGTGACAGACTTTAGCCAGGGACTGAGGAAAAATAGCCAAAAATAGCATACTTACAGCAGATTGCCAAGTGAATCACACACACACATAAATCACGCTGCCCAAGTGAAGGATTCTGTACCATTGCAGGTAGAGTGGAGATAGGTTCACCTAGGATAACGTGTTGGTAAAGCAGCGTTCTAGACTGCTTTAATATGTGATGGTACAGCCTAGTCAGCAGAATTTATGGTAAAGCTGTAATCGCTTGCATTATTGCATATTTTGGTCTGCCCTCCCGAGTATGATTTAGATATTCATTTTTAGAGTTCTAGTGTATGAAATGTCCAGTTACTCCTGGTTGAGTGCTTTGGAGAAGATGTGAGTAGAGAGCTCACTCACAACATACAAAAACTCTCAAGTATGGAGATGTGCTTAGAGGAGCAATTAATTTGCTAATATGTATCCTTTACATGGTGAGATCTTTAGGCTTTTACCACAAAACAGTAATAGTAATAACTCATATGCTACCAGTTCCCTCTCATTTCTTCAGGTTTTTCAGTAGGACTTCACTGAAGGCACTTAAACCTACTCAGTGTGAGAGTTCAAGAAGCTGAGAAATTCACAAGTCCTTGCTCCTGTAAATCTCAGAAAAGTATTCTCTTATTCACCTGTGCAGTACCAGATGCTAAGTGTTTGGTCTAAATATCCTGACAGAGATGAGCCAGTAGCTGGACTGTCCAGGTACTGATTAATACGGCACTGATAAATTATACTGCAAGCATCTTACTTATTTTCTCTTTCTGTGTTGTATAAACTTGCTTACAGTTCCTTCTCACATTTCAGCAGATGGCACTGTAACTTAATTTCCTTGTGTGCTATCAATATCTGGACATTTAATTCAACCTCACTGTATGTTTTTAAATGTTTCTTAATTTTTAAACTTCAAGAAGGTTATAGATAGTCAAAATACATTTTCAGTGTTTGTCAGCTCACCCTAGTATCTAATTTGTTTGTGCCAATTTTTAATGAATTTGTCGTTAAAATATTTGAGTTTACCTGATTTTTGGAATAGTATAGAAATTAAGTTAATTTTGCCAGTCAGTAAAAGGATGTTTGCAGGCCAGATCCAGTACTCACTCTCTAAAGGCATAAAAAGGCAGACCTTCCCAAATGTCTCTTATGTGCTTTACCTAAACCATGCAAAAAATAAGCAAATGTATACTAAGTGTTGACTTTTGACCATATTACAGAACAGAATGCATTCAATGCTTCATAAGCTAAAGACCTGTCATGACAGTCAGCAGGCAGTGCAAGTTTGCCTTTATTTTGCGAGTTAAAACCAATTAAGGCACATTTATACCGTAAACTGCAGAAAAGAAATCTGTTCATTAAGCATTAGCTTTTATTTTGTACAAATACGCAATATAAAGGGAAATGATTTAATTATACCATAGTTAAGTGTCTAAGAGGTTACGTTCGGTAAATACATGAAGGAAAAAGCCAGGTTATTCAGAACCTATTAGTTTGATAGCTCTTTGGTGAGAAAAAAGATGATGAGACGTGCTTCTACTGTTTTGCAATGTTTAAAATATTTTAAAGTACATGATGTAGTCCTGAAGAATGCAATCTTGATTTATGTTCCCCCTGTAATTCACAAATTCAGGGCTTCCAGGTCCTGTTGCGAGAGGTGCGGAAATATCTGCTCTGCCACATTGATCCTGTTTTCTCTTCTACCTATGATCTTCTGCAGTGTAATACTTCTGTGTATGGCTGTTATCAGCAGGCACTGTGAGCAGCTGAGGATTGTGTGCCTGATATCTTGAGTTGCTTTGAGGCCACTCTCTACTTCCTGAGTAACGTAGAATAGATTTGATAGAAGGATCCAATAACACTGGGCTAGCAGGGCTTGGTGTGAAGGTCAAGAAATTCTGATTGCAAATTCAGATAGTGTTGTATACAAGTAGGAAATATGCAAAAAAGAAGGAGGTGGCAAAGCCGTATTTACATGGATTTCACAAGGTGAATTTTACATAACTTTGGTACAATTAACTCCTGTTTCTCCCTCTGAGTTTTTCCAGCCTGAAACTTTTTCGGGTGCAGTTACAGCATGAGATTTTTCTTTTATTTTTATTTTGCTACTATTAGAGTGTGTTTGGTATACATAGCCTGGATTTTGATATGGTACTTTAAACTGATCCGGTGTCATTCCCACCTTAACCTGCAGCTTTATGCTCCCTTGGGAAATTAAGATGGACTGGAGGTTTTGTGCATGTCTGTTCCTTTGTTTTCCACAAAGTAATGGTGTGTATAAGAAAATGGACTTCTTAACAACACAGTTATGGTTTCTACTTCATCAATAATTTAAGATTTATTTTCACTAGATTAAGAAACGATGTTGAATATTTTAGAAGAACCATACTGATCACAAAAGTATGGTAATAAAATTTGTTAGGTTGTAAAACAATTAGTCCTTAGCATCTTTATATTATGATATATCTTGCTATTCTTGTATAAGACCAATATTCTTCAAAACGTACATTTTTCCATTATTGAGTTGACTCCATTGTAACCCTGCAGCGCTTATCCTTTGTTTAAAACTCCCAAGGAAGAAGGACCAAAAGAAATATGTAAACCTGTGTTGTTTTCCCAACTCTATTTTAAACCCTGTATTCTTTCTCTCACAGTGAAAACTCACATACAACAAGGACTAATTTCTGTTGCTGCTCGTACTGTGATAACACATCTAGTCAACCACTTAGGCCACTATCCTATGAGCGGAGGTCCTGCTATGCTAACTAGTCAAGTGTGTGAAAACAATGATAATCCATACAGTGAAAGTCCTGAACTTTCTCCGGAACTTTTTGAGAACCCAAACCTGCAGTTCTTTGTGTTAAACAATACTTCCCTGGTGTCTTGTATACAAATCCAAGCAGAAGAAGACATGCCTGGAGGAGGACTGTCAGCTGGACTTGCATCTGCTAATTCAAATGTCAGAATTATAGTGCGTGATCTATCTGGCAAATACTCATGGGATTCTGCCATTTTGTATGGACCAACATCCTTATGTGGATCATCACAACAAACATCTTTTGCACTTTCTTTATCTCAGCAAGAAAAAACAGAAGATGCTCTTTCATCGTACGAGCATATGGAAGATGTATCCGCAAGGGATGGAATTACACTCCAAGTTAAAAGGAAATTTAGAGACACAGTACCAACATGGGATACAATTAGGGATGAAGAAGATGCCCTTGATGAGCTCTTGCAGTATTTAGGTGTTACAAGCCCTGAATGCTTACAGAGAACTGGTGTCTCACTCAACATTCCTGCTCCTCAGCCAGTCTGCATCTCAGAAAAGCAGGAGAATGATGTCATCAATGCAATTCTGAAACAGCACACAGAAGAGAGGGAGTTTGTTGAAAAACACTTCAATGATTTAAATATGAGGGCTGTGGAGCAGGATGAGCCAACCTCACAAAAGCCCCAGTCAGCATTTTACTACTGCAGATTGCTTCTCAGTATACTGGGAATGAATTCTTGGGATAAAAGGTAAAAAGGAAAGACAAGACCCAGCGTTAAAGAAATCTTTTTTTTTTTCTTTTTAAAGTTGTGCAACTCTTGCTGTGTCCTAGCAGTTGACCATAGAGTGAGTTAATCAAAAATACCCCTAGCCAGCCAACAAATGTATTTAAGATGGGAGGGACTGTGCAGCCCAGGGGGAAAATGGCAGGTTCTTCTGCATTTCAATCTGTCGTTTAGATAGAAGGGAGGAGCCTGTTGCCTTTATTGCCATTTATGTCTTTTTCTAATAACAGTGTTGGAAGGAGATTGGAAGAAGTGCTAGCCTTTCTAATAATCCTTTCACCAGCTGTACTAAGGGGTGTTTTTCTTTAAATTATTATAGCTTCTGGGTGATCGTTGCGCTATGTTCTGTTCTCTTCTGCAATTCAGAAGAGCAAAAGCTCAGTGTTTAATGCTATCACTCACTAGAGCAGTCGATTGCGTGAGTGTCTTTTGTCACTAAGCATGTATATTTTGGCATAGGGAAGTGCAGATTATATATGCATCACAGGGAGTTCTGTCCATTCTTCTGTACAGAGGAGATTGATCACAGCTGGATCCAATAAGTTGACAGAAGAAAGTGGAAAGACGTAAAGGTTGTTCTCAGGGCTACAATGGATATAGAAGATGTCCTAGAGTAAAAAATTGCTTGTATGTTTTTGAAAGATATTTCAATCATTTTATTAAAAAGGGCAGTTGAAAAGGCAAACACATTTGTTGACTGTTTGTTGAATGGAAGTGGAAATGTTCTTGTACATTTCTTGTGCTGTTCTGTATCCATCACTGAACAGGTCATAAAAGTGTTACAAATGTCTCTGTTTAGACGGAGCTTTCATCTCTTGAAGAAAAATGAAAAGTTACTTCGAGAACTCAGAAATTTGGACTCAAGACAATGGTAAATTCTTCTTATGACTACTTATTTAATGAGCACTTATACTTAAATGATTCTGGTTTATATAGATGGGAAACTTTAAAAAAATTGTGAATAGTCCATGTATTTTGCACTATATTTGGAGATATTATTTGTAGAATGAAATTCTACAAACAGAGTATCATGAAGAAGAATAAACTCCAAATAAGCTGTGAAAATTATGAACGTTTTGATGAATAACACATTAGAATACAGAATAGTTGGGGCAGGGAAAATTTTAGAAGTGGGAGGACAGGCAGATTATTTTGCTTTAGAGGCTGAATGCAATCAAAGTAGCCTGACCGTTTCTGCCAGAGCAGATTTATGATACTCTCGCGATCATCACACTTTTGAATAATGAGTCAGAAAAGTGTGAGAAACTGCTTTCAATTGCTCCAGTGTCTGTCTTAACAGTTAGGAGGCTGGGAACAGAAGACATTGCTATAGTACTTAAAGGTACTTAACTCATCAGCGTAAGAAGCATCTGCTACAACATTCACAAGGCATGTTGTTAAAGTGTAGTGCAATGTAAATAATGCCGGTGTTATAGGTTTTTCAAAACTCCAACTACTCCTGGTAGCAGTTGATACTGATAGCGCCATCCGACATATGTCAGTGATGAAAGGGCATTTGCAGGGGTAAATGCTTTAGCACATAGCAAAACTGCAAGCTCCAGAAAAGACCAGACCAGATTCTCAAAAGAAAATGGGAGTACGGAAATACGGAAGGTATTCAAAAAAGAAGCCATATAGTTGCGCTATACTTCCACTATCTTGTTCCGAGTTTTACAAGCCTTGCTCTGTGTGTAGTGTTTGCATATGTTGGTTTCATATTGATTTCAAAGGCCCTGTCATTCAGTGACCATCCTGTGTTTTACAGCCGAGAGACACACAAGATCGCAGTGTTTTATGTTGCTGAGGGACAAGAAGATAAACACTCCATTCTTACTAATACTGGGGGAAGTCAAGCCTATGAGGATTTTGTAGCCGGCCTTGGCTGGGAGGTATTTATTAAAAAAATGTTATCCTCAGTTTGTTTATATAGAAAATTATAAATCACTCTAGATCTTCTAATTCTTTGGATTGTTAATATTATTCACAAGTACAGTTTTGCAAGTAGGATATACAGAGAAGAATTCTGGTTTTAGTTTAATTTCCAATACTGGCTATTTATAGATGAGGTTTTTTTTGATTTCGGAAAGTCTGTGCGGTCAAAGATGATTCAGTAATGTGCACTCCTGTACGTGGCTTTCAGATGCTGACTAGGCTGTATCTTGATTGCCCTGTGGGTCTGTAAAGTGTTAAGTCCATGACAGTGTGAGCTTTTTTTTCAAGTTTGAAAATCCAAAAAGTAAGAGCATGCAGTTTCTCTTATGTTCCCTTCCCCCTGCCTTCCACTGCAGCATGTATCTGTTCACACACTCCGCTCTCATGTCTCTTCCAGCAGGCAGAAATACTGTGATATACCTCGTCATCTATGTAGAACTGCCGCTATTTAATCATTAGCTTGATAGTGTTATAAGGATTTCCTTTTCTGCATCCTCTCTTTCTGACTGCACAGGATTAATTTCCACTGTAATGAATTGTGAGTAAAGTTCAGCTCAGATGTGTCCCACAAAAGCACAGGAATCACTCCTGCTTTTGGCTGTCCATATCAGTAATTCTTCACTTTTTGTGTTCCTGTTGCAACTTGTCCGAGTGTCCCTAATCTTTGTTCCTTTTCTTACACCTTAAGAATGTAAGAGGGCTACTAGATTAACTGTGGGGCTAATGAGTCTGACTTTTCCATAGGAACAGAAGAAAACTACTAAAGCTCTGCCCACTCCATCACATACAATGTTTTCCTACATTCTCAATTCTTCAGGAGAAAAAAAATCACATTAGTTTCTTCAAGTATCTTCTGTCAGTGGATTAATTTTAGTAGCTAGATTAATTTAGGTTATTTAGGTTAATATTTCATGAGGACATATCAGATATTTTAACTTCTTAACATTAAATTCTGGATCTTATTATTAACATAAAAGCAAATATATCCCCTGTGAGCTGAGATTAATGTATTCTCATTTGTGATATAACTTTCTTTAGGCACTGCTGCAAAAGTGAAATAGCACATTAAACATGGTCAGTTATTTCAGCATCGAACTATTTCCCATAGAGTTAACACTTACAAACTTTTCTATGAATTTTTGGTTAGCTTCCATTGTTTTTTTTTTTTTTTTCATTTTCACAGAATGAATATTTGTTGGAAAAGATATGGAAGGTAGCAAGGCAATTTGAAATTGTCTGGCTCTCATGCAGGATTTCTTCAGGGGTCAGTTCAGGGCTGATGTAGTATCAGAGAATTTTTAAAAATTCAAAAAGCGCACACAAGTGACTCCGGTCAACTAACGAGGAACTAATCCTGTAAGCGTTTCCCTCGCTTTCTGCTCTCTAACCTTGTCTTCCTCTCAGCATCTGTGATGGTCATGGAATATAGAATGACACTGCACTGCAGTTGATTTCCAGTCTAATTAGTTAATCTGAGCTCTTTCAGATAAACATAATAGTACCATTGAATCTATTGTGAAAAAGGCCTTCAATTTTTTGAATTTATTTGAAAATGCATTTTAAAAAACTTTATCTACATAATTTTGTTATCATCTAATTTTTTTTCTTCTTATGTTTCCTGGGCTTTGCTTATAGGTAAATCTCACAAATCATTGTGGTTTTATGGGAGGACTGCAAAAAAACAAAAGCACTGGATTGACCACTCCATATTTTGCTACCTCAACAGTAGAGGTAATGTTTCATGTATCAACAAGAATGCCCTCTGATTCAGACGACTCTTTAACAAAAAAGGTAGGTATCTAAATAACAAGCTTTCCTTTAATAATAAAGCAGGAAAAACTTGAGAAGTCATTCTAAAAAGAAAATTCAGTAATTTTTTCTAAAAAATCATTAAATGTCATAATACCTTTACCTCCTAATAGTCTGTATTTTGTTGCATTAGGTTGAGCCATATACATTATTCTCTACCAAACTTTAATTTTGCCATAGGGCCGATTTTTGCCATCATTGGAAATGTTGCTGACAGCACCTAAATAGCGGTGAAAAATGAAGGGAGGTAAAAGTTTGGGTAGAAGAAAAAGCAGAACATTTCATTGATAATCTAGTACTTTGAGACTTCAAATGCAGACTAATGAATTCTTAGAATATTTGAATATTCTAATATTCTGTTATTAGAATATTCTTAGAATATACTTTCGAAGATGACTTGTTCACTTAAGAGTCATGCTATTTATTTACATAATTTTTCATTTTTAAAAATAAAACTTAAAAATTAAGAATTTAACACTGTTTGTTGTATATAGTGAATATTGTTTTGGAGCAGGCACAAATGCTCAATAGCGATGTGGTCTCCCATAGCCACACTAAGAAAAAATGGTTTTCTGTATTGGTATTTTTTTCCTTAGAATTTAATAAATTCCACATTAGTGATAATAAGTTAAGGTCAAGAACATGTGTCCTATTATAAATGAACAATTGGCTATCATTAGACTGTCGCCTGTCCTCCGTACATATATCTTCGGATGTGCTAATCCATTCAGTAGACACATTAATGAGCACTGGTTGAAGTGTAATATTGGAAGAACTGAAGCTGGTTGACCTCAGCATGGAGTTTAATACTTGTAATTAAATTAGATAGTAGACAGTTAGTATAGAGAGAAATAGCCATGCCTCTGGCAAACTTCAATTATTAATGACTTTTTTGTTCTTTGTGTTCAACTTGAAGAAAAAATATTATTATTATTATTATTGTTATTGTTATTATTATAAACTGACTATGAGTTCTAACTTCTCGCAGTGCCATCTTAGCTTTTTTTTTTTTTATTATTAAAAATATTTTTTCTTGTGTGCCCACAGTGCTGGGTCCCTTCCGTTCTTTATTTCATGAGGTATAGGCAGCATAATGCTTAGGTTGTTAAATGATTTATAAATATATTTTAATAGAAAAATAGCTAACTTCAAAATAAGATTGTTGCTCTTGTTGTAGTCCTGTAAGTTGACTGGCTTCTATATTTTTAAATGGAAACGTGGTTTTATAAAACACAGCTTATCACTTTCCTTGCAATGTTTGTTTATAATCTGTTTAAATTAGAGCATTAGAAAGTGTTGACAAGGGAAAAGATGGGTCGTAGTGAAAACTGACTCACTTTTCTTAGATAATTTTGCAAATGCTGTAGGCTGCAGCAGAACACAGAGGCAAGCTCTCGTGCCTGTTTCCGGGAGCGTTCTGCATCTGCATGCAGCTGCTCCTGCCGGCCGGGCTGCAGTGCTGGGCCAGGCCTCCCGTGTTCTAGCTTGTGCAAATGGTGTCGGCTGGACTTTTTAACAACTCCAGTTTGCCTCGGGCCTCTTTCTCTCCTCTGTCACCCACAGTTGCACTCTTCACTAGTTTAGAATACTTGAACTCTGGATAGATATGACAGCAGGGTATATATCAGGACTTTGGGATTATATTCTTAGTTCAGCTGCTGATGGGGCATTTAACTTTATTCAGGCTACTTCATTTCTGTGTGACTTCCTTTTCCTCCTCTTCCTGTGTGTGTTTTTTATTGTTCTTTTAAAGCCCAGTTTCCCAGTGAATGAAGGTCTGTGTGCCTGTCTTGATGTCTGGCCTCCCTTCCCTAATAACTTTTGGCCCATTTCAACTGAATCTAATAGAGATTTCAAAGGTGTTAATTTCACATGTGTTTAATGAAGATAGGCTAGGTAAAGGAGAGAAAGTGAGGGAGACTCTTAGTGTTCCTACTCAGCATGTGTGGGAAGAAGTATTAGGCATCAGTGAAACAGCATCAGAGAGAAATGTGATGAATGTTTTCCCAAACTTGAGGAAAAACATCGAATGAAGTTGCATCTTGGGAGAAACCAAACAAATAAAGCAGGAGACACGAGTAGGGAAACAGGCTTAATTCTTTCTCTTGGTTCTGCAACTACTTGTACTGCTTGGGCTGTGATCGCCTCAAGAAAAGGGATGTCTTTTATCAGGTGCTGTCCAGCACCAGCGCACCCTGTAGTGGACCTCTAATATCATCTGAGAGCTCTGTGTGTGCTAACAGTTGTAATTATTCTGAGTGCATGTACTGTTCATGACCTCCAGACAAACAGAGTTTTGAGGTTCTCTACAGATCTTCCATGCATTGTCTTTGTCTATTTCATTCAAAGAACGAAAACTGAGCAAACTTGCAGCAGTTGGCTTAGAACTGCTGCTATTTTTTATATTGTAGATGTGCCTAGAGGTACATGATAGGTTCATCTTATAAATGGAAATTAAATTACATTAAAACAAAACTTCTTCCTGCCAGTCCAGCCACTGCAAAATCAAGATTCTGCTGCTTGAGAGGTCAAGCCAATTTTAAACTTATTTTCCGTCAATCTTACTGAGTAGTAAATAAAACTTTTAAGTATCTTGGATACCTCTGAAGCATTGGGCTCTGAAGACATGAACAAAGCAAAAAAATAGCATGAATTCAGGAAGAACGGATGAAAACCTTCTGATCGTATAAGGAACCTAACAGTCAAATACATATATTTTAATGGGCAAATTATAAATGAAAGGTTTAATGCCTATAATTCAACCTTTTTTTGTCCTTCAAATTAAAAGTTAGAGTAGAAGGCATTTACACTACTTGCAAGAGTAAACTTGCAGAGAAAGCAACAGAATTAAATGAAACCGTGAAGACTCTGAGTTCACAAAGCGAAAAAGCTCACGTATGTGCTCCTGCAGCCTACCACCTGGCCTCCTCCTCCCTCCTTAGCCTCATAAATAAGTGAAAATGAAGATCTTTTATATAAAAGATATTTAAATTAAAAGTAGTAATGTTGTTAACTGCTAGAACACTAATTCATCATGGGCTTCAGGTGTATTGCGTGATTCAAGGTTATGAGAGACGTTATCCCCGCCACATAAAAGAATTATAACTCCCAGTATTTTTAGGTTTTTTTTTTAATTCTGGAATTAATATGTACTGAGAAGTTTAAGGTTTATAAATGTAAATCATCAGTACAATTTTTTTTGGAGTTACAATTGCATACACACATTGCTTTACTGAAAAAAAAAAGAAAAGAAAAATTGTAATTCTTGGAACGAGATTTCATGAAAAATTCAACCGTAGGGTAAATATGCTTTAGACAGCAGGGCTGCCTACTGCAGGTAATGGGCAAAACTAGCTACAGTAAGCCATTACTTCACAAATGTTTTTGCTTTTGCTTCTGTTCTTTTTATAATGAACACTTTCATTTCTGAAGAAGAAACAGAGTTGAGGGCTAGCTGTTGTGTTATAAGAAAATATAATAGCCTTTTTTCTCCCTCCTTTAGGTAAGTGGGTATTAGAAATTACAGTAATTTTGGCAAGAGTTCAAGGGTTAATGCAACTGATAAATAAAAGGAATTTTCTGTAAATTGAGCCCTGCATTATTTCACTTGTCTTGCCTTTCCAAACCTAACTCATTTAATTTTAAAAAGTAAATACTTAAATTCTTCCTGACAGTGTGCTTTGCTTTTACTATCGTTTATTACTTCAATTATACTTGGTATCACTTAGAACAATCTGCCATTTGGAAATTTCAGTATAGCCTGCAGCTTAGTATTAAGTCTGGCTGCTATTGTAACATGTACAGCATATGACACTAATGCATCAAAATTAGATTTGATCATCCCTCCTGGTTATATTTATTTCACGTTTCTTTTGTATTCAGTTAACATAAACGTATTAGGAAAGCTGACACATGATGATGGCTATAGAGTAAGAATATTTTAAAGTATTTTGAGTTAAATTTGAAATTTCAGGTGACCTGAATGTTGTTCATTTTTATATATTTATTTTAATGGAGTAGAGTTTCAAAGCAAACTTAAAAAATCAGTTTGTCTCTGACATCTCCTCAGGGCTGTCTTCCCGTCAGCTCAGGTTTAAAATGGCTAAAAGAGAACTCTTAATCTCTTTCTCATTGCCACCTCTCTGGATCACCATGGATAACATGACCATTGTGCCTGTCACTTGTGCCCACAGCCAGAAATCATCTTTAATTTGGTCCACTCTCTGGATTCTTACATTCACTGTGTTCTTAAGACTCAGTCCTTTTTATGTAACATTTCTTGCAATATAGCCTTTTCTTGTCCGTATGCACAAATGACATTTATCTATATCCTAAGAAAGTCATTTTCCTAATCTTTCATGCCTTTTTACAGTATTTTTTTGCATTTGTCCATCTCCATTTTGTCTCTTAGATTATAAACTCTCCGAAACAGTTTGATCTGCATTTGTACAGTATTTAGCGTATTAGAATATTGATATGTAACTGCAATTCTGGATGTTTCAGCTCTGGTATATTAACAGTTACTTGAAGTATTGACATTATTTTAGTGATTTGTGTTGTTTGGATTATTGTTTGAAATCCCTAGCAAGAATTTGCACTCTCTTTTGCTTATTGTCATTTATGCACATAGGAAGCTGTAAGTTTTAGAGTTTATTATCTTAGGAAGATGAGATCAGGAACTGAGTTTGAGGGTATAATGGTTTGCACAACTAGTAATTAGTTTTGTGTAACTGTTTACCAAAATTTCAGTCTTGGTACCTGCATATCCCGTGTGCACCAAATCTGATACTGTTAAATAACATTGGGATGACACCTTCTTCTGGGATACCATGTTGCTCTCTGTCCTTAGGATTCAATGGACAGAGGTGGCTATAGCTCAGTATCTTTGTACCCTTCATGTCCAGGAGGTTGAATTCTGGGATGCCTCCAGTCCAATACCGCGACATAAAGAATCCAGATTAAAGCTGAAAGGTCAGGCTCTGGCCCTTCTCTGGTGTAATAATTCCAGTGAATGATGGTTTCTTCTAATGTTTGCTGTGCTTGTAGGAGAGCTTTGTTGTGGAGCACTGCTCAATTTCAAGGTCCTTCAATAGGAAACTGAAAAATGAAGACGAAAAACTGAAATTCTTCTTTCTAAAAAGTTCATGCAAAACCTCACAGTCCTTGGAAAACTTTTCAAGACAATTTCCAGGTATTGGACCTCTTCCATGAATGGAAGGGTATTGAGTAACGTTACCACCATTCAAGCTTTCTCATCAGCTTTACTTGCTGACCGTGGTGAGGACTTCTGAAAGAGGCAATAAGGAGCACTATGTTAGGATCAGAGCTTATTCTGAACTACTCTTGAAGAAAGAACAGAATGACTTACCCAACACTTAATTCTTCTCCAAACATAAAATCAGCAATACCCAACCTTGTATACCAGTCTATTCTTTTGTCATTTTTCTGCCTCCTATAATGGAAGCAAAGCATTGATCACAGTTTTGGTCTTGAGTACTCTACGTCTGTTTGTAAACCAGGATACACATCTTATATCATCATCCACCTACTTGCACCATCTGATTTTGACTCTCAGTGCATTGTATGTCACAGAGATGCCTTTCTACACTTTCTTTAACTTGAGTCTTTGTCCAGTCGTTCTTAGTAGTGATCATGAGACAAAACACATCTTGCAGGACTTGGATCTCAGTGGAATAATGTAATTCCTTTTCCTCTGAAGTTAGTTGGCGCTTTCACCCTGGAATGTATCCTCACACCTCTATGAGGGCATAAAACAAACTTTCAGAATGGAGAGAAAAATCCCTAATGACTTCAGTTCACTTAGCATCCAGAAATATGTGCCCCTTGTCCTCCCTGTGAAATAATTATATGTACACTGTTATCACTCTACAGAATCAATTTCAGTCTGATTTGACAGCATACATCAGTAGTGATGCTCAGTCTTGTTATCCATCCCAAATGTGCAGCAAGAATTGATGTCCTGCCTTGTTAGGTGGGTAGTGTTCAATACTCTCATGTAATGGCCAGTTCTGCATCTGCAGGTTTCAGTAACTGGTATGTGGACCTATGCACAGGGGCAACCTTTGGCTAATGGAATTCAGAGATGATGATGCCCTCAAGAAACTGTGCTATCTAAACTGTCTTAAAGTTGGATGTATCAGTCCTAGTTCTGCTTTGTGGCTATCAGTTCAATAAGGGTGTGCTAGATAGCCACCCATCAGCCTAGGACCATGCAGTTTTTTCGTGCTTCATAAGACTTCATTTCTAAACAGACTTGCCTCTTGCTTTCTCCTTTGTTAGGTGGTCTCATCCTTCCTGAGTCTTTAGGTTGCTTCTAAGGGAGGGCCCATCAGTCCCTCTTGCCCTTCTGTCATTATCATATTTCAACAGATAGTTTGACTGTCACTTCACTTAGGAAGGCAGAAGAGGTTCAGGCCCTCAGAAAAATTCCACAGTTAGTTGTCTTTGGCAATGCTAGTCATCCCTAAGTGTCATCCAAAGTTTCTGCAACTGATGTATGCAGTTCTTCACATCAGCCATTCAGGTTGCTGCCTGATTTTGTTCTAATCTAGACAAATAAAATTCAACATCCTGAGTGTTGTTATAACCAGTTCTTTTGTTGACTTGGGCTTATAAGTGGCACAGAACATCTCTAAGTAACAACGATGTTCAAAATAATTCAGCCATCTACAAAAGAGGCAAGCAAAACTCACTTCAAAGGAACTGTGATCATTGTAGATTACATGTATGTGTGATCTGGTCCAGACAAAACAAGTGACTTGTTTGACATCACACAGGATCTCTGTATTGATACTGTCTATCTTTACCTAGTCTAATACTGAAGAAAATCCTTTTCTTGTAGGAATACAGCACTGGTTTTCAGCCTGATACAGTTCAAAGCTGGGAAATAAGAGCAGAGTTTTTCTTTTTCTTTTTTTTTAAGGCTGCTACTGACAGCCGGTATAAGCCGTTAGTTAAGACCAAAATAGCATTCCAGAAGGTTTTATAATATAAACAAGCGAATATTTGCAATTAAATTTCTCTAGCAACTCTATATACATTTTGCTTTTTTTAAAAGTGCAGTCATATTCTGCAAATGAATACCTAAAATTGTTGCCTCTTTTTATAAAAGATGTCCTGCTATGCGCTCAGATTAGTATCTATGTGTTACCTGTTAACAGCAGTTCACAGTGCTGTCCTTTGAATAATATCAAGACAATTGTTTGACAAACTCCAGTTAGCTAAAGCCGTCCAAACAAACTGAAAACTGTGGGTGAAGAAAATTGTCAGGTATAACTGATGATGCACAACAAGAAAAAAAATGAGTTTCTGCCTTGAATTTTCAGAAATGACCCATATTGGAAGGAAACTTCTTTTTTAATAATATGAATGTATTTTGATCGGTATACATAAAGCCTCTTTTTCCACGATGTTAGTGGTTGTTTTTTGGATAGTATTGTTTACCATCCAGAAAGGACATTTTGGACTCTCAGAGCAGAAATTTCAAAAGTGTTCATGATACTCCTTGGTGTGGTTATATGATTAGAACTGAAGGTACCTCACTGATTTGATGAATCAATTTGAGCAAGAAATTTTTCAAGAATTTTTTTTTTTTTTTACTTTTATAAAGTTTTACAGATTTCATCAGAAAATTAACATTTAGTTAGTCTGAGGCCATAGAAAATAAACTCACTATCCTTCTTTAAAAAGCTTTTTGTCTGTGGTAGCCAATCTGGAATTTGACTAGAGTGATGTGGTTAAAGATGGTTCAGATGCTTATCTTTTAAACAGATGTTCGTCCATATACTTTTAAAATTCCTGTAGAAAACTCTGAATTTAGTAACTTGCTGCCTATTAAAAAGTGATGGCACACTTGAAAGCATTTTAGTAAATCAGATTGAATCACTGAGTATTCTAAGATAATTTCAACAAAATTTTACCTTTCAGTATTCTATATTGTCATGTCTCTTCATTTAACTAAGTCATTGACATCAGTATATAAAAAGTTACAGCACAAACTAAAACTATAAACCACTGCTGTGACTGAAAACTTAAGTGCACTATAGTGTAATTTATCTTATTCATTTTTCTTATATTCCTTTTTAGTATATTTGTCCTTTTGGAACATGAATCTGAAGTGTAGCTGTAGGGCTGTAGATATATTTAAACTATTTAAACTGATGTGGTTTTATCCCTGCTTTTCCAGCTAAGACATTTAGGAAATGATGAAGTACACATTGTCTGGTCTGAACATACTCGAGATTATAGAAGAGGAATAATTCCAACAGAATTTGGTGATGTTCTTATAGTTATCTATCCCATGAAAAACCACATGTTCAGTATCCAGATCATGAAAAAACCTGAGGTAAGGGGTTTGTTTGTGTGCGTGTGTGTGTGTGCGTGTGTGTGTGTTTCCTTTATATGCTTAGGATGAACTGAGTTTTGTTTTGATTGTGGTTTTTTTGATTGACCCAATGAGGTAGTCTGTCTTTTACATTGACAGTTGCAATGGTTGGTAGGAGGAGGAAGAACTCAGTGAGTGCAATGCATATGTAAAAGAAAGAACTTGAAATTACAGAGCCCCGATCCTATCAAGCATATCTGCCAATATCATAAACTACAAACAAAGCCGCAATATTTTGCATAATAATTTAAATACTAAGCTAAACTTTGCAATCTGTTTTTTATCAAATTTGATACATGACTTTGGTAGCTGAATCACGTCCTGCTCCAGCTTTCTCCATCTGTGTCATATTCCCCTTTCTTCTTCCTCTCAAAGCCAGTTTTCATCTTCTCCTTGACTCTGCACAGGAGTTTGGACGCTAATTCAATGAAGCAGAGACTATTCAGCTCTTAGGCGTATGAACACACGTTTTTTGTAATGACTGCTCGAATGTCTCTGCAGCCTCTGTTCTTAAAACAGGGGTTTAGGGTACCGAGCACTGACGGAGTAAAAGTAGTTGTGAGTATCTCTACTGAATAATTTCTGTGCATGATGTCACTTGCCATGCATTTTTATATTTTAAGTGTTTCATTGTTCTTGCTAGAAGCACTAAGATTAATAAATTAGGTATGACATAAATAGGAATCCCTCCATATGATATTGCCTCTCTCTGATGATACGTGTGGAATGATATCCGTATGTGGTCCTGTTATTACTGGGCTACTTATATTTTTAATTAATAGCTAATTCTTTTTCTTAATAGTTTAAGTATAAAGAGGTGCATTATTGGCAGAGGGATTAAGAGAGAAAAAGAAAACTGCTGAGAGAAAGGAATGTTATTATTCCAACATGAAGTCCTCATCTTTGAAAAATGAGTGCCTTCTATCAGATTTCAGTATTTTCAAAACTACATTAAATGACTGATGGCAGAAATAATACAGAGATCTAAAAATCTTTTGCAGTGTGAGTATCGTCTTAGCAGGGAGAGTATTATTTAGTGTATTCTGCTCCCATTCCAGACCATATACACAACCTTTGCTATTTAGAAGCTTTATGCTAGCAGCCTCAGAACCTTATTAGCACACACAGAAAAGTGTGCAAAGTGATGACTGATCATAAAAAAAACGTAAGGCCAAAGCATAGGAACCAACTGTTCTATGAACCTTTTGGGTGTCATCTTTACAGAGCATCCAAGTTTTCTACTGATCTCAGTGTAACTTTTGAACAAGTAAAGCTTTCCACATAAAGTCTGAATTTGCAGATATGTCTGATGATTAGCTGTCTGTCCGTGCATAGATGTGCACAATTTGTCATTTTTGAGGCTTTCCCATAGCTATTATGATGAGAATTTTATTTTGGTTTTAAAATATTAAGAAAAAAGCATGTAGATGTTCGTTGGTCATATAGTTACCTCTCAAAGTGAGTTTAATTATATTGTTCATGCATATACACATACAAGCACCCTCCCCACCCTCTTTTTCTCTCAATATAGAATCAAATTATGTTCCTATTGAAATCAGTTTCAGAACTCATGCCAAAGAGGCTGAAATTTCACCAGAGATTTCTTCTGTTAAGGTCTTACAATCCTTTTGTATAGCTAACACAGCCAGTAAGAACATACTGAAGGGGAAAAAAAGAGTGGAGGGTGAGGGTCCACCAGTAAATGTCTGACTGTGGCACATTGAGTTCATCCTTACGGACATGTAATTATTCCCTTGCTTACTACCACCTACAGTATTGTCGTCTAACCTTTGAACCTCATAAACATCATATGCATGACTCGTCTTAGGATTTTGGCAGAAAATGTTAAAAATAAGCTTTGATGAGGCATAGCTTTCAAATGGTTGCTAATTTTCTTCAAATAGTGTGTTATCTGTTACCAAGGATATCAGGCAGTTATATGGCTGTGTATTTCCACAAGAGAAAAGGTCTGGCATGGAGCACAATAACTGTTCTGATTATCTAGTGATAAGGAGAAAAAATGATATGTTTGAGTGCTCTATTGTTAATGTTGATTGCTAATTGTTATAGCGAAGATCCTGCTTTATGTTGAATTTCTTAATTTTTTATTCAGGTTCCATTTTTTGGTCCACTCTTTGATGGTGCTATTGTGAACGGAAAAATTCTTCCTATTATGGTTCGTGCAACAGCTATAAATGCAAGCCGTGCATTGAAATCATTAATCCCATTATACCAAAACTTGTATCCTTTCACTTGTACCGTTTCCAAGGTATATGCATTCCCTTGCAGTTCTGCAGGTGGTATGATCTTCATATTATCTGTCATCCTATATTTCGGTCAGACTTATTTAGGGAAAATATTTTTGACTTCTTAGGGCGGTGTTTTCTTTCAGAGACTTTAACACATAGGAAAGTATTTAGAGGAAGACCAGGTTGTTTTATTAAGTGGAGAATAGATTTAGTGCTAAAAACGGCCTATTTCTAGCATTTTATAACATACAATAAATTCTCATCACTTCTCCTTAAAACAAATTATTTTAATAACCATTTTGTCGGTAGACTTTTTTCCAAAATAGCAATGTCATGGTGTTACTAATCATTCTTTTCTTAAGGATAGTAAGTATTTCTGCAGGACTAACATGACTTAGTTATTTTTTTAATTCCATGAAGGATAACATTTTGCATCAGAATGAGAAATTTGATTATTGAGCTCAGAGTATGGCGGTGTTGTCAAAGTGATGTCAGAGTCTTTGTAAGGATGTCAGAAAAAGCTTTCTCGTTTTTTCTGTTGGAACTAATCGTAATATTTTGAAAGGGATGCTCTCAGGAGAATAGATTTACAAACCAGAAAATAAAAAAACACAAGGTAAGTCACTCTGCTTATACCGCGCTTTTCTTAAGATTGAGTTTTGTTATAAACCTTCTAGTTAAATCAACAAGAAATGCTATTTTTGATTTCAGAAATTGAAAGGTAAGTTTAAATTTTTATCCAAAAAAAATTTCTGTGCTTAATTTTCAGCCAGATTGTAGATATTTGGGTTTGTCTTGTGGTAAACTGTTCCTAAAATACTGTATTTTTTTCAAATGGACTTTTAATACTCATAGCGTTTTTTTTTTTTTTTTCACGTTAGATATGATGAAGTGAAATTAAAGATGAATGATGGATGTTGTTTAATGTGATCGCATTAGATGACGTTTGTACCATTTCTGTAGATGACAGATATTGATTCATTGTATTTGCATGTTTGGAAAGGTCCAATCTTTTTGTCATTACTCAAGTGGCTTAATCAAGGAATTTAAAATGTGTTGTCATCATTATACCATGAAAAGTGATAGCTTATAGCATTATATTGATCTACAGTGGTGAGCAATGGAAAAACAATTTACTTTGAAATAACAAACTTTCAGTACTAAACAGAAAATTATATGTTGCAGCTTCTTTGCAGAATATGAAAGTTGTAATAAATTCCTCAGATGTAGCTTGCCAGCTCAATGTCTAAGGAATTGGCCAGTTCTTGAGAGCTGCACATTGCTTACTGTCGTTTAATATGATTCTCCGAACTATATTTTTTATATGCATCAAATAGCTGCATGTCATTTATGACATTGGAGATTGTCTGTAGGGTCTCTGGCTCTTTTCCTCCAGCACATTTTAGCTATGGCTGTAGTCTTCCACTACTAGCTTTTATGTTTGTTGTGGGCTGATGCAGGGGGAAGTGGGAAGCATTTTATGGTCTGTGGTAAAATAGCTTTTCTGGAGACCCCTCCAGACTTAATATCTCTTGTGGAACACAGACTCATTGTTCAAGGTAGTCTCTCCTAGCCTATGTATTTGGAAGAATGAAAAAGATGACTCAGAGTGGTGGAAACAATGTAATACGTTTTCAAGAAGGGAAAAAGAAAAAATGGAACAGAACAGCTATTTTTCAGAAGGTAGACCAAAAGCAGAGACCAGCTGGAAGATGGGAGCTGACAATAAAGGCTTCCCATGTGTCTAGGAGCATAATGGTGTCAGTGAAGAAGACTTTTGAACTGATCTGATTTAAATTATTATTTTTTTATTTATTTTTGAGTATTTAATATGTTTAGAGCATTGTTGATTTATTAGGAACTTTGAGGATGGTACAGTAGAAATTCAGTTTAATGCGGATCTTGAGCAGACAAGAATAGTCGAGACTTCTGTCAAATAGGTTAAGATCAAATTCAAGCCTGATGCTCTTTTACTAACGTAGCAGACCAACAGAAATAGTTGTTTTCAAAGTGAATATCAGCATATGGAAGTCTATGTGCCTGCAGGTTTGTGGTTCATTTCGCTGGGCTATGTAATACTTCAGCATTTTTCGATTCAGGATAGAGCTGATGATACGTAGGTCTGTGCTTATCTATTTTTGAGGAATATTTAGTGTCATGTTGCAGATCTTCATGGTGAGAGTGGATGATGATAAACTCTAGATTAAACTGAGACTTTGTTAATTTGTTTACATACGGAACGTGAAGTAAGTGGAACTGACGTTGGTCCTCCTACTTCCAAGGAGGGTTTATCTGTCCTCTGAGTTAGTGCATTTTCAAGGGCAGGCCTGACTGAAAAAATCAGCTGTCATTTGTAATCAGCAGGGATATTCAGTTCTCTTCATGTAACCTGATTGCAACTTTTTCCTTATTGCCTTAGTCTGTTGATCATGATGTGACCGTGGGTAGTACATGTGAATAGTATAATAATGGTTGCATGGATACAGGAAGTTCTGCTCATCTCCCCTTTATAGTCTGCTCTGACTTTGAGAATATATTGTAAGGTCTGAAGTGTCTTTCTGGGATTCAAATATTCTGTCATTCACCTTCCTCTTTCTGAGATTGTTTTGACACTTTGGATAGCAAACTCTGAGAGCAAACCATTTGGAAGTTTTGATTTTATGAAGAATTTTAAAAGATTTCGTCTGCTCTGTTTTTATCATACTTTACTCAGAGTGCTGGAAGAATATGATTTGGTATTGTACTATTTTAAGATAAAAAATTTACTTTTAAAAACTTTTTTTAAAAGTTTATCAGCAAACATCAGTCAGGCAGGGCAGGTATTCTGCTGTAACTTAATGCTTGACATTTTCAGAGAGAAAATTGCCGTTTGGATGGGGTTTCTGCACTGATTTCTGAAGTTTGCTTTAGTTTCCCCTTCATGGATTCTGCAGTCGCTCACTGTCTTTTGGTGACCTTGCCTTCTTGTAACCCTGCCCCCTCACCAGGAGGATCCACACGCGCATGCAGTAGTATATGGCACACAAAATATTTCTATTGTCTTCCTAATGAAGCAGCAGTACCTCTTTCCCCTACCTCACAGATAATGTATTCCTTCTTTCTAGTTCGTTGTGTAGCATTTCTCATTATCTCTAAAAATACATTAGGAAAACACTCTAGCTGTGTCTCTGCGAGGGAAGCATGACGCTCATAACCGCAGGTGTAATAATGGTACTGGCTGTTAAGAACAATTGTTGGCACTGCGATGTAGAATAAGGAGGCCAATATTTGGAGGATTCGTAACTGTAGTGTAGTAGACACCTCCAATGATCCGACTTGTTAAAATCATTTAAATCATACAGCAAAATGGGAAAAATACTAGAAACCATGTGAGAGTGAATTTTCGAATGTGAAACAACAACTGCGCTGCTTTTTATGCGCTGTACACAAATTTTGGAGTATTAGTAGTTATTCCAGTCAAACTATCTGCACTTTAAATAATGCAGTTCAGAAACTGTAGTGCTTTCTCTCTTATGTATTATTCCCCTCTCCAAAAGATGCAACACAACATACAGCTGCACCCACAGTAAGAAATCCCAGTTAGCTTTTAAATCTGAAATTTCTTGAAATTTTAGAACATCTTGAATATAGATGACTTTTATCCATATCTACCATAGCATAATTTTCACTTCTTTATAATGATCTACAAAATCTTTGACTAAATGACAAGAAATTCTTCAATCAGTTTAATTTGAATTTTTCTATTGTCATATAAAACAAATGAATTTAAATAGCAAAAAAGTAGTGATGTTTTAATTATTCAATCTACAAAATATTACAGAATAAATCTTAATTGATCTGATTGATTTAATGAAGCAGTCTTCGTTATTAAAGCTAGAAAATTTGCATCAATTGCTTGGTGTAAATTTGAAATACTTACATTGTAGAAGTATGTGAGAAAATAAATAATCATCAAAGAAATGGAATATGTTATACAAAAAGCTTGCCATAAAATGTCTCATTCATCTGTTTATTTCAATTAATATTTATTAAAAGAAGGAAAAATGGGCCCTCCTCCATAAAAAGTAGAGGAGAAAACCCACAAAAAGCAGTGTTTGAAGATGTTCAATGCTATATTTCGTTAATGAGTATTTGTTCTGATCTGCATGATCTTGCTCTTGCAGTAATTTGCTAAGACTGATCAACAATCAAGAAAAACATGAAGTGCTTAAAATTAAAAAAAAATGGAGAACAGGATCAGCAGGTCAAACTTTTAAGGCTGTTTTGTAAATACTTAGGGAAACTCCATCTCTTGTTTTGTATTTTGATTAGTAAACAACTCCCCCCATCTTTTTTTGACATTGTATTCCTGAGCAGTTGGTAGTTGATGTATTGTAGCTAATCTTTTTAGGCAGTTGTCTTCTGGAAAGAGGGAAAACACTGACCCCGTATGGCTTCTACAAAGACAATGACATGTTTGTGAATAAAGTAATGTGTCCGAGGGATTTGTTAAAGTTTCTTCTATATTAAAAACTCCTAGCACAGAAGAAGGTTTCTTGCTTGATTTGATATGCTTTATACCCAACTGCCCCAGCAGAGGGTTTTGTTGGAAACAGTAGCTTCTCTATTTGTTGTGCCTGCTTGACCAACATCTGCCTCAAGATAGAATTTCAGGCATTGGAAAGATTATCTTTAAAATGATACCAAAAAAAAGTATCTCGTTACTAACGATGCATAGCAAGCAAAGAGTGCACTTCAAGTTCTCTGGCTACATTTGTCTCATTTAATTACTAATAGTTGTTTGATTTACATTTTCAAAATGAAATTCATGAAGATTTTGGAGATTTCTGTCATTTAACCTTGAACAGCTAACTGAACCCATGGGTTGATTTGCCTTCCTGTGTTTGTAAGGATGGTTTCTTTGCATCTGAGGTGCAGCAGTCAATCCCATTGTAGCACAGGAAACTCCTCTACACAGGAAAGGCCTTGGATAAGGAGGAGTGCATGTCTCAA